GGGAGATTATCAGTGGTCTTGTATGTCTTCCATTTTCTGATGATTGCTCCCACAGTTGATTTTTTCACACCAAGCTGCTTGCCTATTGTAGATTCACTCTTCCCAGTCTGGTGCAGGTCTACAATACTTTTCCTGGTGTCCTTCGAAAGCTCTTTGGTCTTGGCCATGGCGGAGTTTGGAGTCTGACTGTTTGAGGCTGTGGACAGGTGTCTTTTATACAGATGATGAGTTCAAACAGGTGCCATTCATAAAGGTAACGAGTGGGGGACAGAAAAGCTTCTTACAGAAGACGTTACAGGTCTGTGAGAGCCAGAGATTTTCCTTGTTTGAGGTGACCAAATACTTATTTTCCACCCTAATTTACGAATAAATTCTTTACAAATCCTACCATGGGAATTCATGGATTTTTTTTTCACATTCTGTCTCTCGCAGTTGAAGTGTACCTTGGTTGTCCACAGTACAACATTATAGAGCACGTGACCAGCAACAAGGTTGGGTAGGGGATGAGGAGTAATCCCAGGCAACACAGCAGCCATCCTGCCACTGCGCTGACTCTCCAGCGCGGGCCCAGACCCGCCTCGTGTTCCCAGGAGGCAACAAGCATCGAAGGCATTGGAAGGGGAGGGGGGATGTGTGAGTACTTATCAGTGTAAGTGTATATGTGTCCTTTGCCCTATCAGGCTAAGTAAACAGTCTATCAGCCAACCCAGGTGGCCTTGCATAGAGTGGGAAGAATAGTCAACACACAGTCGTTATCAGGGAGTTTTTGTTCAGCTCCAGTCTTGAGCCCACAGCTGGCGCCGAAGGGGTGTCCGCATTATGATGTTGATGTTGTTGATTTTTCTTTTATGCGAGCAGCTCATGAGAATTTCAAAGCTGTTCTTTAACACTCCAACACTGGTCTCTCAATCTCCCGTTGGGAAACCGCGAGTTTCTCCATGATGTTATCAAACTTGCGTTCCGTGGTCTTGTCACTCTTGTGCTCAAAGAGCAGATTCTGAGACCTCACGACCACAGTCAGCTGTTCCAAGATGTAATCCAACTTTTGCTCAGAGGTGTTATTCTAAGTATTCACGGCAGCCGTAAGCCTCTCCAAGATCTTAACCATGCTGCACTCTGTGAGCCCATTCTGAGAAGTTGCGCCTCGTCCCATCGTTTCAATCCCAGCGGGCAGCCTTGGGGGGGTTTGAACAGCCGGTTCAGCTTTCTTAATTCTCCAATAAACCAGGGCCAAGCCAGCTCCGATCAGCAAGAACCCTGTTATTGTGGTTCCGAATAGGTAGATATCTTCAGCGTCCTCGATCGACAGTCCCGCCAGGCACACGACCCTCCATGTCTGCCACCCGTCCATCGTGTATCCGGCAGGGAAAGTCCCTCCAGGGCACTCAGGCTCTCCCGAGCCCAGACTTCTCATTGAGAAAAGGGTGTCAATAGCATTCAGAGACCAGTTGATCAAATCCATAATTCTCTTATAGGTTTTAGAGAACAGACTGAGAGAGAGTGTTCCAGGGAAAGTAATACACACGAGACAAGACAAGGACACAGAGGCTAAGCAGGGAAGATAAGGGGAAGGAGGAGAGGAGAAAAGTGCGACTGCCTTTGCCGAGAGCCAAACGAATACCTGAACCAATAACTTGGTGTTCCCAGGTAGGATAACAGAGCCCTCTTTTCCACTTTTTCCATGTAAGTGTTGGCCACAATGGATGAAACTGGGAAACCCATGGCACACCCATCTTTCTGCCTGTAGTACTCACCCTTGTATGTGAAATATGTGGAATGAACACAGTTCCAAGAGCAAACAAACTTGGTCAGTGCTGAGAGTGGTCCTGTTGCTGAGATTGGGGTCATCCTGTAATCTCTTACGAACTACCGGCCTAGTCTATCCCAACCCCACCCTGTGACCACCTGGACCACTTTGAACTTAAAATGCTGGTGAGCCAGATACCACCGCATCCATGCGGTTGAGCCATTGCAGCAAGGCATGATCCGAAAAGAGGATGAAAGGGCAAGAGGTAATAACAAAGATAGTTGACTGACAGTGGATGGCCAGGCCTTCCTTCTCTACAGTGCTGTACCTGCCCCCCTGCTCTGACAGGTTTCATGCTGATGTACACCACTGGAACAAAACGCCCCCCAGCCCTGTGTTTGGGGCATCAGTCTGAAGACTAAAAAAAGAGGGATAAGTTAGGCATCTGGGTTCCCCACAGAGACCCTCCTTCCCCCGCACAAACGCCACCTGGCACTACTTTGTCCACTGGGGCACCCTTCCAGGTGAGGTCGGTTAAGGCTCCACAAAGCCTTTATGGTGAAATAATGTTCTTTCCACTTCAGGATTATGGCTCCAACAGTGCAAATTCTTCTGTAACCTATGCCATCAGTATATTTTGCAGCAATACGGTTGCAAATATCTCGAGGGAGCTTATTGGTTTTATGCATCAAGAGATGTTTCTTATGTGACACCTTGGTAATGAGACACCTTTTTATATCAGTTGGGACTGAACCAGCTGATATAAATGTGCACTAAGTGGCAGGGTTACTTTCTAATTTCCAATAGATGTCAGCTGGTGTCATGCCATTTCCCATCTCCCTTTCTTTGTGTGTTCAATACTTTTTTCCCGTGTGATTTCTCATTATTAAACATAACTTAGTTTATGGATATATGTGGTTTGATTACTTTACTTGTGTGGATTGGATGGGTCTTGGATGTTTACCTAAAATATTGTGGCATGTTCAATACTTATTTTACCCACTGTATCTTTTGATAACAGCTTGCACCAATGACCCACTGGGTTTCTTTCAGGATGAAGCCAGATGTTCTGGATTTTTGACTTCAGTTGTTGCCATACTGGTTGGACTGGACTGGTTTTGGGGAGGTTGCTCTTAAAGCTACAGCATTTATAAATGAGCAGTGTGTTTGTGAACAAAAAGACACAATCACTGCTCATTACTATTCAGAATTAACCTCAGACATCACTCTGAAAAGTTTGAATGAATATAAATTTATTTGTATATCTCTTTGTCTCTTTATTTAATCAACTTGTTACTATTCAACATAAAAGCATTTGAGAATGAAATAAACAATTCAGTCTAAAGTAGAAGATATAACGTTATTGATCATTGCTTATTCAATTAATAATTAAGTAAAAACATAGGACATCTGAACAAACCACAAAGCTTCTAAAACAATGTCCTTTGGACAGGTGAGACCAAAGTGGAGATGTTTGACTGTAATGCTCAGCACCATGTTTTGTGAAAACTAAACACAGCATATCAGCACAAAAATCTCATACCAGTTTTCACCCACGTTGGTGGAGGGGTGATGATTTGGGCTTGATTTGCAAATTTGTAGGAACTTGCCTTGAGTCTCTTCTATGCTAAAATATTCTAGAGTCAAATGTGGGGCCGTCTGTCTGACAGCAAAACCTTGTCTAAAGTTGGGTCTCACAATCAAGTCAAAGTTTAAACTTGAACTTGACAGAAATGCTGTTCTGGCCTATGAAGCAATGATGTTAAGAAGAGTGGGCATACATAATAAAAACCATAACATAATAACATAAAAACATAATAAAACCATACAGAAAATGATTACTTCAAGTTAGGGCTGGGCCATATTATACCGTTCACGGTAATACTGGTATAATGTTAGGCAACGATAGGAAAATGAAATATCGCGATAGAATATGAGTAAAACGCGCATGCGCAGTGCCTTTGTTTTCATACGCACATGGCCGATTGTTGAGTGAAACAGATGAACCAGAATTGGTTTGTAAAAATGGTGCAACTTCATTGATGTGGAACTGGTGTGGTGTTTGTCGGTCAGATACACGACAAAGCACATTTTTTTGCAGAACATGCAAGCGGCCGTCGTCATTGTCGTATTTGTCGGACTAAGATGCTCTTCTGGGAGTAATCTGGGTCCTAAACTCCGTCTCTTCAGGTCAAAGGAACACTGCAGCATCACTGAGAGTTAAAAACTGTCTAAATTCTTTCATCTTTAATAAAACGATCAGCATTGCTGCTTAACCAGGTGAAACTATGAAGTTTAACTTCCAGGCATCCATGAAAACAAAATTTATTACATTTAACGGAGTTAGAAGTTAGCAGGAAGCTAGCGGAAGTTAGCTTGCTAGTTTCGCTAGTTACCTAAGCATGATATGGCATGTTCTGACAGAGATTTCTGGAAAAATTCAAACGTACAGCTCTGCTATCACGTCCAACATAAATGAAGACAGGAAACTAAACAGCAGTGACGTTTGTAGGGTTACTGAAGTTGGGCTAGCTGGTATATAATGATGTGCTACCTGACTGCTAGCGACACAGCTATGTTAGCATAACATAAACAGTGAAGTTGGAGGACGAACACTAACACTTTTCCACTTATAAAAGTTAACGTTAAAGTTCCTGATAGCTAGAGACAAATGCAATCGCATGGCAGGATTCTGTAAACGGACCAAACTTCAGTCAGGAGAACAACTGAGATAATCCATCCACAATACAAGGTTAGTCATTAATATACTGCAACAACATGGGAATAGAGCAGAATTCATTCATTAATAAATCAATGGTACAGAAGTGGAGGAAGCAAGAAGAATGAGTTTAATAAAGTTTGATTTATCTGACTGCTTTGTTTCGCTTAATGTGCCTTATAATCCCGTGCACCTTATGGTCCGAAAAATATGTACTGCACACTGCAGTTTAATGTTGCAAAGCACCTCTTTTTAACTTCAGTGGATATTATACATGGTTATGCTCAGGATATGTCAGCCCATTTCTACTGGAAATGCCTTTTGGTTAAACTTTCAGCAAGGAATTTGCATTTGCACTGTTACATTTTTTATAAAGCTTTTAATGTACATAAAAACCAGCTTCTTGTTTAAGTGAAAATAAATGGAAGGTTGTCTTTTTGCGCTAGTAATGTTGTGGAGTTGTATTTTGTCTCGCATCAATTATATCGTCGGTTATATCGTTATCGCAAATTTTCAAATATATATCGTGATAAATATTTTTGGCCATATCGCCCTGCTCTACTTCAAATTATTGCTGCTAAGGTATATGAGAAAAACAGTAACACTATCAAGAGAGACTTGACTTTTAAAAATCAAATTTTCAATCAAGTTTTTGCCAGCTTGTGTGTTTGTTGTTTGCTGCAACAAAACAGGAAGCAACTGAAATATTCAGATTACAGCTTAGTTGATTTTCTTTGTGGAGGTAAGTTTGATCCACTTTGGTTCCTCTCCATAGTCTTCGTCCTGCAGGGAAAAGGAAAACAGAGAGGTTAAAACTATAGAAATTGTTTGAAGAGTTTGCCGTCTCGCTTGCAGCTTAATTACCCATTGGCTTCAGCTTCATCAGTTGAGTCTGGAAGCTCTTTTCTTCTGGTCTCAGGAAGCAAGAAGGCAAGAGCTCCACTGATGAGTGTAAGGCTGCTGTAGACTATGATTGGTATGGACCAGTGGTAGATGGCCAACATGTTGACTGGTGGAGATATCAGACCACCAGTTCGATACACAATAGAGCCCAAACCAGAAGCTGTTTGTCTGAAACAAGAATGTATATTTTAAGGACTACAGAGTTTGAGAGCCACACTAACATTATGGCTGCAATGGCAAGGAGAGAGAGAGAGACTCAGCTCACCGAAAAGATGTTGGAAACAGCTCCTGAACATACACATTGCACACGGAGCCTGCCCAGTTAGTGAGAAAACGTCCACAGGTTGCTAACGCAGTAACAGCAACAGCATAACCTGAAACAGACTGACAGATTAAGTTTACTGCTTTCAGAAGCAGCTAATTCATATTTCCTTCATCATTCACATAATAATTTTAGAGAAATTTAAGAACCCAAAGGTCTGTCTGTAAATCAGCAAAAAGGGTCCAGGCCCATTTCTTGGAATCTGTGACTTACAAATTCACTAGTCCCCCATCTCTTTCACAGTTTTGTAACTGTACTGGGTTTCCACGGCTGTAAGTTTGCACTCAATGACCTTCCAAAGATTTCAGGATGGAGCTCATGATAGCTGCTTCATTATTTCCATTTTATCAGGTCTGTGTGTTGCTGCAGGAGTTTCACCCCCCTCAGCAGATTTTAATTTAGGCTTTACCACAGAGACCCACTTATGGTTTAACAGATGAATTTTGTTACTTGCAAAGTTACACCTGTATTTTACCATGACAGTTAGAAGCCCTTTAGTGTTTAGTATCGTGAGATGACTGAATGGCACTGCCATCTAAAAACAGACAATATCAGAGGAAAAAAAATAAACAAATACATATAACTGGACCATGTATTGATGGCCCAGCATTATTAGCTATGAGCCGATTCATAGATATCAGCATTTATAACAGCCAGTGAGTGAAAATTAAACAAGTAAAGAAGAGACACAAGAAACACCCTTCTGCCATGTTGTGGTTTAGAGGTATTTGCGGGGAATATTGACATCTCATAGACTGTCCACCAGAGAGCAACCTGCAACTTCCTTTTTGGCAACACAGGTGCTTTGTAAGCAGCTAACACAACAACCAGCTGATCTGAGCAGAGTCAGGACAGACCAAACAAACCAACAAAACAACAGTCCTGAGTGAATACATCTGAGGAGCTCTACCTTGAGGAACCGCTAGCATTAAGAGACACAACAATCCTCCAATTAGAAGTGTTGCCATGAGAGATGGTTTTCTTCCCACTGCTTCCAGCAGCCAGATGCTCAGAATATGAGCTGGTATTTCAGACAGGCCAAATACTGCCTGAGTCACGAAGATGTTCAAGCCAAGTTTTCCCACACTGAATGAAAGGCAGAAGTAGGCAACATTCAGCGAGAACCTGGGGAAAGACAGAGATGGATTTCAAATACAAGTTGCACAACTTGATCTGACGATTAAAGGCTCGGTAGAGCAGATAGGTGTAAAATATAACTTACCATGCCAATGTTATGGTAAAGAAATATTTCCTAAGCACAGCTGATTGGATAAGAGTTTTTATGCCTCCCTTTTTCTCAGGGTCTTTCACAATAATCTGTAATGCACAGGGGTGAGCACAACATCATGCTAACATTGCTCATGTTAGCAATCATTTAATCCTACAGCCTTACAAATGTAAGTCTGACTTACTGCATCACAGTCCATTAAATTATTATCCTTCTAATGCAACTTTGGCCTCAGAAGTTGACACGGTGTCCTTGTGGTTCTAGTAGGCTTACTTTATTAGAGTCCATCATTACCCATCATTTGCTCATTATACTGCTAATATTTTATTACATAGCAGCTTTTATTATTGCTGCATGTAATATTCCTTTCAAGCCTCGATACAAAGGGAAGTGAATGTTGTGAAGGGTACCTGGTCCAGCAGATAGTTTGGAACCGTGCGCTTGTTGATGGCTGCAGCTTTTTTGATTAGCTGTTTAGCCTCCGTTGTCCTTCCAGTGCCCAGCAACCACCTGGCTGACTCCGGGATAAACCTGTCCAAAACAGGCCAGTGGCACTTAATAAATTCAAATGTACCAGTCATAAGGGATGGCATCATGAGAGAGTTAATGCACACCATATATAAATAGCAACCAATGCAAGTGGAGCTGCCGTGATCAGCTGAGCCAGTCTCCAGTTTCGTACAAAGTAGATCATTCCAGCGAGGAGGCACTGTCCAACTGCACCACATAGCTGAGTCACACATGCCCCCCATGAACGATTGGACACCCCGATCCATTCAGTGGCTATAACATTTTTTTATTTAATTTTTTAAAAAAAAGGTCAAAAGACAATGTTGACAGGAATTACAGAGCCCTGAATGCAGACAAAAGGTAAAATGCTGTCAAATAATGTTTTAAAAAATCATTAATTGAAAAAAGAATGAATAACAAATTATTACCAGTACTATAGAGCTCAAGTCAGAAAACAACTTTTAAACCGATAAAAAGGGACCATATAAGAAACATATAAAAAATAAAAATAAAAATATAAAAAACATCAGTACAGTTTAAAAAGAGGGAAGTATAATAAATTAATAAATATAAAGTCAGTGATACATTTTTTTAAACAATTCATTTATCAATTAACCATTCAATTATTGCACAAGAGAAATGTTGACTGCACTTATGTCCCCCAATGACTAATATATTACTTGAAAGTTTGGAGATGATCAAATGGAAGCTGAAGCTTTTTCCTAATTTGTATGACCCTGACCTTTGACCTATGACCTTGAAGCATTACATACTAAAATGGTGTATTTTATTATCTTTATCAGTACTGATGGAGAAGAACTGACTGAAACATATGGTTTCTACAGGCTGTAAAAACTTGAGATTTTTCAACTCTCTCTATGCCCTTTCATATGATCTATTACTCAATATGGTTTATTTTATTTTTTTTCAAGGTCAACTTTCACCGTGCGCAGTAACAATGAAGACCTCCCCAAAATTAATCAGAAGTCAGCAATTTTTCAATTTTTAGTGAGGAAAAATGTTTTTTATCTGTTATCAGGTCTGTGTGTTGCTGCAGGAGTTTCACCCAGCGAGCACTACAGGCTTGAGCAACATGCACTGATAACAACGTTTAATTCAGACATATTTAAGACAATTACTTACTCAAATTGCTTCCAAACCTGGTGCTTTGCAACCAGGGAGCTTCTCAACTACCTGCTATGACATAACCTTTTCATACTGAATATAAGCATTATAAATATTTTTTTTACTTAAACATGTATTGCTATCAAACAACAGCTAAGATATAAGTCAGTGAGTTTCAATATAAATCAGACTTATATACCTGTTTGACACAAAGTACGATAAGAAAGGGATAATACTTTACCCAGGATAACGCCATTAAGTCGATATCCCCCATAGCAAACTCCCGCCATGAACTGGGATGCCAGATAAAAGTAGAAGTTAGGCGATAATCCAGTTGTGACAGTAAATATCACCATTACAACAGCTGGGATTTGACATGCTCTTTTTCGACCAAACCTGCAACAGATAAGATCCCTTAAGTCACTTTGTCTCCTCTGGACAAATTAAATATTTAGTTGATGTTTCACATTAAGTGACAAAAATATCACAAATGCACCAAAAAAAAAAAAAAAAAAAAAATCCAAACGTTAACACTACAAGTATTTACTTACGACTCTGCAAAAGGTCCAAATAAGAGACAGCCAACAAGGATGCCAGCCATTAGGACAGTTTGTGCTGTCTCCAACAAACTAGCCCGGTCACAGACTAGATCAAACTGGGGAGAAAAATAACCCATATTACTGACATTCATTCATAAAAGTTCACATTATTTACATTATAAAAGACCAAGACCTACATCAGTGACTATGGTGGCTTCATACAGCATGTTCCCATACACCCATCCACTCTGGCACCTTGTAGTCTCATTGAGCCCGTACTCCCTGATGGCACCGATGTCCCAGTCCACTGGGACGAACATCCGACATCTGCTGAAGGTCCCATCGTCTTCCCGAGGCACGGTCAGGTTAAGCTGCTCCTCTGTGGTCAGGTTAGGAGCAGCATTGAGTATCCAGTCTGTGTTGCAGCGTCTGTCTGGATCTGACTGGATAAAAAGTACACTGGCAAAGTGGAAAGGTAGAATAACATTAGGGAAGCTGAGAGCAAAAAGGGTGATCTTCTGAAATAACCCAAACTCCCCCATACTCCGCAGAATCTCCCCGAAATCAGCCATTTTCAGGGCGCCTTCTTTCACTTTAGAGATGCTGGCCGACGACGACCTTTAAACAGTGCCTATTAATGTTTAAACCCCAGATCATGTATTTCAGGAAGGATGAGACAGCATTTCAGCAGACATTTCATTTTATAGAGAAAACTCCTCTCACTGATGGAGATGATAGTTTAACCTGACATGAGCCTTTTGTTCATTTCACTTTGTTTAATTAGTTTCCTCTGAGTGTGGTCACCAAAAACCTTCAGCAATTACAAGAGCTTTGGCAATGTGGCAAATTTCAATAACAGACCCAATCCCAACGCCTTAATTCAGTTTAATTTGCTATTTCCAACAATCCAATTCGATTCCATTCAAATTTATTTATATAGATTTACAATTTACAACAATAGTCGCTTCAAGGTGCTGTATGTTGTAGGGAAAGACCCTGCGAGTTAGAAACATAAGTGACAGTGCAGTATATAACTTACAGTAAGACACCTTGCAGATAGCTTAATAGATCATCCGCTAAGTTTTATAATATTCCTTCTTATAAAACCTGACCCAGTGCTCTTACATAACAAAACAAGCAGATGTGTTATGTAAGGTGGAGATGCTGTAAAAGTTATTGTACACTCGATAATAAAATGGTCTTATCATGCCGTGGTCTGCAGAAACATTCAAAAGATCATTGAGCAATAAAAGTTTGCTTCCCTTTCTTCTTTTTAAAATGCATTTTTTGTCTTATTCAGTCTCATCTCCATCTCTTTTGACTGTCCTTCCTTTTAATTTGATGTAGAAAACAACAGAAGAAGCTAAAGATACAGAAACAGATCCAGTCTAAACATGGGTCAAGGTATACCAAGGCACACAACATAGATGTAAAAGATAAAAGACCAGTTATATAGATAACAGATCAATGCATGCATGACTACAGTATATATATGTGACTGTCTGGCTTTTATTGAAGGATACATATACGCACGGTAAATCAAAAACCTGCCATTTTTATGTGAACCTGTAAAAAATCAATCTTTTTAAATCTAAAACTATTAAAAAAGTTATGACATGTACAAAAAGGAGGACCAAGGTTGGCAATTAAATGCAAACATGTTTAGCGGCACTAATCTATACACCAGATCACACTTCCTTTGAAGTGCTGTTTGAGGAACACACAGATGGATCAGTTCAAATAAATCAAACTTCAGCCACTGTTCCAAACCCTGGGAAGAATCTAGGACACACTTCCTTTATAGAAAGGATAACACTGGCTGTTAGCTAGCCCTTCCACAGGAAAAAAAAAATGCATCTAACTGCACATTTAAAACACAGAGATAACTGCTGAATATAAAACTCAGCAGACTACATCAGTCCACATGTAAATGTGTAACTTCCATGGTAAATATAGCAGTGACAGCCCATTTAAAGTATTATTGGCTTGTTTACCACCTGATAAGAAGCTGTCAAAGGGCTCCTGGAGGTAACAACTCACATTTCTAAAACTGAAAATATTTTCAGTAGGAAAACGCATTAAATGCAGACATTGTTGATGATTTTAAAGGAACATTTGTTCTACACTTGCTTTGGGTATCACACTTTTGCATAAAGAAATTAACGGATAAAGAAAAGTTGGGATAACTGAACACATTTATCTGTCTTTGACTGGCATCCCTCTGAGCCACTTATCTACCAACACTCATTTTTTACTATTAGGAGATGGCTGCTACCTCAGGACAGCACCACACTGGTACTGATTGTAGTTTCTCTGGGTAATGTATGATTTTTATTCGTTTCTTCATGAGACCAGTTTCTAGAAACACCTGCAGTCAGGAAACAATTACTCAAAGAATCATTTATGAAACTCTTAAGTGTTCAAATTTTTCTAGTTCCAAGTTAGAAACGACAAAAACACCTAAAAACAAAAACAACAACAAAACAGCTTTTTAACGAGTTTGGGTTTTTTTTGTTTATGTAATGATATGTAAATATGTAATGATAATAATAATAATAATTATCATTATTATCACTAATGGTCTCTTTATATGATTAAAACATGGGAATCACAAAAAACACACTAAATTCATTGTTTTGTTATTAATTTTTTATATGAATGTGGATCACCTAATAATTACTTTATACAGATTTTTTTTTTTTTAATTTAGCAGTGTTTAATATTTTTGTTTCATTTCTATTTATCGTGTCTAAAGGTTTTGAACTGTGACAAGCTGCTGCATGAAGGAAATGCACCAAAGAGATAATAAAATATGAAAACGATAGAACACCTGCTGAAGGTCCCACCCTCACATCGAGCTGCTCCTCTGTCAGGTTACGACCCGCACTCAGGATCCAGTCTGTGCTGCAGTGTCTCTGGATCTGACTGGATAAAATGAAAACTACAATACAAAACTTCATGTAACCAAAAAGAGTAAGCGTTTGAAAGAGACCAGCTTTCACATTTAAAAAATTGAAGAAAAGAAAAGAAAAAAGCTGGAAAGGAAGAAAATTTTGTTTTACTTGAAAAAAAAAAAAAAAAAATAAATAAAAAGTGCTGGGAGCTTTTCCAATCAGAATTAGGTGTCTGATGGCACGATTGTGCCAATCTCATTTTGCTTTTCCAAGACATGCTCTATAAATCTCTATAGGCTCTTGTTCATGTGTTTATCTGTTTATTTAATCATTTCCATTAGTGTTGTTTCAGTCATTACATTATATGAAACATAGTATAACATGGCAATGTCTAAGTTTCTGTGTGTAGGAACTCATCCCCTCCCCCCACTCATTAACAGTTCTACTTTGGTGGGTGTGAGTGTATGAAAACCCAGTGCTACTAAAAGACAGGACACTTTAAATAAAAGCATCAACACTCATTGAATACCATCATGTAACTTTATTCAACAACTAAAATAAAATAAAAACAAAAAACAATCAGCTTGCATGTGCTGAAATTTACTGACAATGTATCAAACTGGTAAATCACCATTGCATCTCATCACAAATACTCTTCAAACTAAGCATGGGTGGATATACACATTTTATGATTAAGCGTATATTTTTTTTTTTTTAAATATAGGTACTGATCTGTAAAACAAAGTTCATACATACATGCCAATCAATTGATTAAAAATAATACTAATCACTGAGTGCCCTCATAAGAGGCAGAATGACTTTTTAAAAGTAAACGATAAGGAAGATGTTTAGAAAGTCTTTGATAAGCAACCATTTAATGACCAAATCACACATACACACACAGAGGGTAGGGTAACCTGTGCCGTTCATCGTCTAGTTAAAATTATCTATCAATCAGCCTGTAACTGGCTTCCATGAGGAAACACTACATATCATGACATCAACGCAGAGTGTGACTTCAAGCCCAATGTAATTAAAAAAAAAATGTGCACGTTAACATATGAACCAACTGAATAATCCACACATGATTAGTGATGCTCAGGCAAAGGCCAACAGTGGAAAACACTACAAAACAAACTGAATTCTGCGTGCTGAACATGAGTCTCAATCTGTTTTCCTTTAATCAATATTTACAAGTAATATGTTCCTTTAATCTGACATGTACACTTCAACAGTCAATGCAACGACATCATTACATACAAACCTCATGTCTGTGCGACAGTGCGTGGAGTTGCCATCATATGTACAGTTACAACATGTTAACATACACCATTTACATCAGTCCTTGAACTAAGAGCTGTGTCACAGCCCTCTGCACATGGTCCAAAACCACCACAGAGCTACACTGGGAGTGATGAGTGACTTGGTGTTCATAAAGCAAAGACACTACAGTACTGAAACAACTTGCCCAGTGACAACAAAAGCTTCCAATGATTTTTAAAAGGTTGCTAGCTTTAAAGAAATTTGTGGGGGGAAAAAAACAAAACAAAAACAAACCAAGATAATGCTGTCATTGATTTATTGTGTTTTGGCAAATGAGTAAGACTCAAAATACGAGTGTAGGGAAGTAGAAAGAATCTGCAAAATAACTGAGCAAAGCTGCAATTATTTACATCACAAGTGTGTATTTTTAAAACATTTTAAACATAGTCATTACCAGTATTATGGTGACACCTTCACCGCACATTCTAACATGTTTTTAACAAGTGTATCGACCATGCTCACCTTCTCAGTGTGTTTGTGATGAGTGTTCGTGTTAAAACATTAAGTACCAGACAAACTGAAATTTGGACCAGATAGTGAAAAAAGAGGAAAAGACCGGGAGCAAAGCGGACAAGGAGTCCTTAATACCTGTGCCAAATTTAGTGACAATCCAATGTATAGTGGTCTGAGATCATTTAAACAAAACAAGAATGCCGAGCAGCTGCTTTGTAAACTCTCGTGCCAATCGAGGCGATGCCAAAACATTTGACCAAGAAAATAAAAACTTTGAGGACCACCAGTGTGCACAGAATATATAAGTATACACATGTAGTAAATTTCATGCCAGCCACTGATGAAGCAGCAATGCCATCAATCAGTGCTTGAAAGCAGAATCCCATTCATCTCCATTGTACTGGGGTGGAGGCAAATAAGCCAATAGCTATCAGCATGGCTAGCTGTCTTCCCCTTCTAAGCTTCATATGAGTATGCGCACCTTTACAGAAGTTCATCAGCACTCAAAACCAGCATCTGGGAATTGTAAGAACTGTTAAATCAGCTATTGCGAGATTCGATGACAACTTAAAGGGGAATAAAAAAGAAAAAGAAAAAGAGAAGCAGTCATTACCCGTGTTTGTGGATATGAAAGTTAAATCTTACAATGGGCTCTTAGCGATGTCAGTTTGGCTGGTTGACTCGTTATGAACTCCTTATGAGGTACGAAAAAAGAAAGAAAATGTATCCAACACAAAGGAAATGATTAGTAACCAGTGACCACATACCGTGAAAAGAAAACAGCTATTGCATAGTACAAGAATATCAGGCATTCCCTCAACCTGTGAAAATAATGTGTCTTTAATACCTTGGGATAAATGCCAACTGACCGAGTGTGGCACTGTGGGACAGAGGGGCTACA